TTCCACCTGGACTGATTGTATTTCAGTAGCAGGGGAGGAATACAGACACACTTGCAGGATCCATTCTACCATTTTTCAGGGTGCAGAAAAGCAGCTGAAAGCAAGGCAATTTCTGAGTGTAGAGCAAAAGAGGACAGAGCCCACTTAGAGATGTGAATGTCCTTCTCTTTATAATTTAACCATCCATTACTTAAGGTATCCTTGTGACCAACTTATTATTCTTTTTCAGATGTTCTTCTGTAATTCATTAGATTCTACAGTCTGCTGTTAAAATTCTGGTAAAGTTAGATCAATATGAAAAGACAGTTTGTTCAACTGCAGTTTTCGAGGAAGAGTACATAAAGCCAGCAGTTCAAACCCAGAGAAAATAACAGTTCTCCTCTGTTTATATTTCCAATAGGTGCATTCAGATTGTAGATCGTCAAAATGAAGAAATTACGGGCAACTACGTCTAACTTTCTTTTAAGAGAGTTGGAATACCGAGAGCTGGTTAAGAAACCAAAGGAACCAAAGGACTGCATTTTAAAAATAGCTTAGGCGAGTCCTACTCCCATCTCGCTGCCTTGCAGCACCACCTACAGAGAGGCTGTCAGAATCACACCCACTGCCAGAACTCGGGAAACTCCCAGTTCATCGGCCAAACAAATCCTACTTCAGGGGTTAACATACTCTGGAAACTACGAGTTTGACAGCCCTGAAGCCTGAAAATTTTCTGCTGCAGGATAAAGGCAAGAATGTGGTCGATTTTTTCCAAAAGCCCCTGAATTCCCATGCAGAAAATGTACCTCTAGCAATGACAGAGCTAACCCAGCCACTTTGCCAGTTTTTTCTTTAGAAACTTTCCTGCAGAAGAACTTTTCTGGCAGCCAAGTGTCCCAGCTGCAAAAGGATGGTGGGATTTTCCAGGGCAAAATGCACTTAATGATCCGTTAATCCTACCTTTGGCACAAGCTGATTGTTCAGGCTTCAAAAGACTGCAATATTTCACCTCCTCCGTGTATCTGCTCAATTACACAAGATAAAATGTCACGGGGACTGACCTTCATCTGATCACCGAAGCATAAGGTCTGTTTGCCCTTGGCTTAGCCTGGGTAGCTACACAGTGGCGATATAGGGACTGGACTGCGAGAAAGGCGTTTGCAAGCACAGATTCAAAGCTGGCTTTTGAAATATGGCTCTGATTATCTTCCCGTTTAAAGGAAAAGCTTAGCTATTCACCTCAAAATAGAATGTTCTTCTGAAATATGGAGTATTTTTGTCTTCCTCCACAAGCCTGATCCAAATGCCACAGCAATCAACGGAAAGTTCCCACCGCTGTGGATCAGGCCCTGGCTGTGGGAGGCAGTGGGTGCGGGTGCAGGCAGCACTGCTGTCTCACTGCTCGTTAAGAACAGCAGAAAAGAACAGACCTTAAAAAAGCAGATGAGAGGGCAAACGAAGACACAGGCTCCAAATCTATGGTAGTGAGCTTTAGCACCAAGAAGCAACAGCCCAAAATATTGATGGTATATGCTTAGAAGGATATATTTAGGGATCTGTGCTGTTGGGGGGGGGGGGGGGGGGGGGGAAGCAGGGGTTTGGGCGCTGGGCCGGGGGGGGGGGGGGGGGGAGGGAGAATGTGATCCTTTTTCTGAATGGATTGACTGTTACCTTACAAGGCATTTGTTTGCCCTTGCCAGGTCTGTAGGAAAGATGTACCAGGACCTCATTCCTCTGATGGTTAAATATTTTCTTCTAATTCCTGGCCTATACTTATTCATTGCCAGAGAGAATAGATCTACTATCTTTTCTGTTTAGAAAACTAGTTACCTTACAAAGCCATCAGGATACTCTAGCACCTTCAGCAAATTCACACTGTATTTTAGCCCATTTCTATCTGCCATCATGTCTGGTATTACTCTTCCCTGCTAAATTTATCCAAAAGTCTTGTATTTTATTTGGCTCTGACTTAGATAATTTTTCCTCTTTTTAAATGGTGGAGTAATTTTTCCTGTTCTCAAATGCTGTTGTGTTGCTCCTGCAGCGATGCTGTGACACAGCCAGATACTATCTTGATAGGCTGTCTGGGTCAGAAATCAGAACATTTCAGTTGAAAGGGACTTACAACAAACATGTAGTCCAAATTAGCATCACATTATGATCTATATGATTTGTTCCACTCGGATGAGATAATTTCTATCTCCATGCATTCATTTCCTCTATGTACATTTCCACTATATATTATGCATTCATTTGTGTCGCCTTTCTTCACCCCTACCTCTTCTTTCCTTGGTCTCCTGGTATGATGCCTGAAGAACATTTTTCTATTTGTTTTAATTTCCTTTATGAGGTCTAACTCGGCTTTGCTTCTGGCACATTTCCCTTTTTATACTTCCTAAATTCTAAGACGTAGTTTTCTTTGATTAATCCTTTTTTTCCATTCCTTCTACCCCCTTTGCTGATTCCTAATATCCTCTTTGAAGTGGTTATTCACCAGGTTAGGTCTGGACCCCTTCCTTACAGAGTTTTATCCCTCTGTGTACAAGATCCAAATACCTTTATACCCTCTGCTTAAACTCCAAGCCTGCCCAACATCCAAACCTTTTCAAGCTGTCAAAAATCAGGAATTAAAAGACATTAACTCTGGCATACACCAACTTCCAGCACATTAGGCTTCCCATTGGGTTCATGTTCGCTGTCCCACTGTCTGAGATATTCCAACCGGTTTTCTCTGCACACACATCCAGAGCTAGAAGATCATGGGGAGACCGCTGACAGCAGGAGGAATTCCTCTCGACCTACAGCCATGGCAGCAGTGCCAAGAGAAGGCTGGAAGGTCATTAGCTGAAACTGTTCTCATAGAATAAAAAATTGTTACAGTAGATTAAAAATTAGCATGAAGAAATGAAGTATGCACATATATTTTTAAAGCCTCTGTCAGGCAGCCAAAATGAAAACAAATTTCACCAGACCACGAAAAATGAAATGCGTGCGTTAGTCCTTGTATGACTGGAGCTTATTTCCTTGCTAAATTCCAAGTTTCGGGTCCCTCCCGCTGAGGCAGTAGGGCTGCTCAAGAAAACTCCCCTAAATGTCTCACAATAGCAAAGGAATACCCTTTGCTGTTTCTCACCGTACAAGTTTGCCCAGGCAGTTGGATAAAATGGGGTGACATTTCCAGAAAATGTGGTTGTGATTAACACCACTGTTCCCACCAGATGTGTAAATAGTAGTTGTTTTGGGTTTTTTTTTCACAGAATCACAGAATCACAGAATGGTAGGGGTTGGAAGGGACCTCTCTGGGTCATCTAGTCCAACTCTCCTGCCAAAGCAGGGTCACCCAGAGCAGGCTGCACAGGACCTTGTCCAGGTGGGTCTTGAATATTTCCAGAGAAGGAGGCTCCACCACCTCCCTGGGCAGCCTGTTCCAGTGCTCCGTCACCCTCAGAGGGAAGAAGTTCTTCCTCATGTTCAGACGGAACTTCCTCTGCTTCAGTTTGTGCCCATTGCCCCTTGTCCTGTCACTGGGCACTACTGAAAATAGTTTGGCCCCATCCTCCTGGCACCCACCCTTCAGATATTTATAAGCATATATTAGGTCCCCTCTCAGCCTTCTCTTCTCCAGGCTGAGATGAGGCCTCACCAGGGCAGTGTAGAGGGGAAGGAGAACCTCCCTCGACCTGCTGGCCACACTCCTCCTAATGCACCCCAGAATGCCATTGGCCTTCTTGGCAGCCAGGGCACACTGCTGGCTCTTTTTGAGGGTTCAAGCTCAGGAGTCTCCTGACGACCAGTGTGCTGGGCCGCGGCCATGGCTGTTTTTGCAGAGGAGATGTCGGCATCCCTCGGGGTGCGCAGGAGGGACCCCCAGCCCCACTGCGTGCCACGCTGGCCCCACGCTGGGGCAGCCAGGCCAGCCCGATGGAGCAGCAGGGAAAAAAGAAATCATTTCAGTTCGCCCTATTAAAAAGCCTCATTCAGAAAGTCAAACCCAATGTTGTCGTATTAATGGTGTGTTCATTTTCAGGGAAGGTTTGTTTTCAGCTGCATGGTCGGAGCCAGCGAAAAGAGCTGTGCAAGGTGATTTGGAAAACGGAAAATTCACCAAAGGGAAATCGGGGGGATTCAGAAGAAAAAAATAAATGGGAAAAGAGGAGCCATCGAACAAAAATGGTCATACTACAATGTTCTGCTTTGAACCAAAGTTGTGTTTTTGAGAATGACTTGAGGATCACAGAATAGCTGATGTTGGCAAAGACCTCCAAGATCATGAAATCCAACTGCCAACCCATCACCACCCTGCCTGCAGAAGGATGCTTCACCGCAGCGAGAAGGCGCAAGTTAACTGAAAAGCTCTGGAAATGTTAGGGCTTCTTCGTACGAAGCCATTGGGCCGAGTTCCCCAGCCAGGGAAAGC